AGTAGTAGTAGTAGTAGTAGTGGGTAAGAACAAACCTTATTGGTAATAGATAGGGATAACAAATGAAATACTTACGGAACATTCAGTTATGCTGACTGATGAGACATAGAAACAAGAATATTTTCAACCCTATAATCCTTGCAATACCATCAACACAATTATCTAGCAGTAACTTTGTTTGTTCTTATCCACTTCATATTTCGACCCTGTTTTTTGTCATCTTCTGGTGGTACACACACTTAAACCTCAGTCATCTGAATTGTCACGCCATATATTCTGTTAGAAAATGAGACCCTTCATCCTAGTGAGTAGTAGTAGTAGTAGTAGTAGTAGTAGTAGTAGTAGTAGTAGTAGTAGTAGTAGTAGTAGTAGTAGTAGTAGTAGTAGTAGTTAGTGGGTAAGAACAAATTGATATGATAATTGATAATGGATAATTGTGCTGCTGATGATGTAAATGATTATATGTACAAAAGGAGGATATCCCAATCAGAGATTTTAACGCCTGTTTTGTGATATGAATGCTAGTGCTGAAGAGAGATAACTTAGCCCGTGGAATGTATGAGAAGACAGAGGGGATACATTATGTATATACACTGATAATTCCATAGCCCGATCACAGGGGTCTCGCGGTTTAAGACATGAAATTATTTTGATCCCTCGAAAACTGAGATCGTAGGTTCGAATTGCATTCAAGGCATGGATGTCTGTGTTTATTCTGTGTCTGTAGTAGGTAATGACCTTGCGACGAGCTGATCCCCACTCTACGGAATTCTACCGACTGTCTTAGATTAAGAAACTGAAGTGAAACGAAGTGTTTCAAGGATGCCCTGTGCTCCTAGCGGGAGCAGCAGGATAGAAGAAGGTAGTCGCATATCGCGCAAGAATTGCAAACCTCACGGAAATATATGAAGGCAAATACGAAATTGTCAGATGGCGAATAATCCTGCCACAGACCGAACGTTAGTAAACGAGCTCTCTGCACAGGATAAATATCTCCTCTGAGCTATCTGGAGTATTCGACTCTTCAACGATTTCCTGTTTTTTGTAGCCCCTAGAATGTTCATTACTGCCAATTGTGATGGATTTCATTTTAATCTCTTTATCTTATACGGAAAGTAGGTTAACGACATTTTCATGACCATACGACTGTTCTCTCTTAACAACATTTTAACCAGTTAACATATTTCATGAATTTCATAAGGATATCATGTCACTTGGGTCTAACCAGCATCTATGATAGTTAATTTCCTCGCATACCAACACTTCAGACCAACGTGCCAACTTCCCGCAAGGTGGCGACATTTAATTCCCTACTGCAAATTGCGCACGTGACAGGCATTCGTAAAATATGTTACTTTTATTTAGGCATATTTTTATAAAAATTCAAACAAGGGGGTTACCACGCAATAAATATATATTTCTGTCCGCTTACCGGCGATAACTGGCCGCCTGTGTGGTGTAGTGGTCAAAGTTCCTGGTTACAGATCCAGAAGGCCTAGTTCGATTCCCGGGGCTAGAAAATTTTCTGAGAAGTAGTGGGTCTGGAATGGTGTTCACTGAGCCCCGTGAGGATAATTGAGGGGCTACTAGAATGGAAAAATAGCTGCTCCGGTCTATAAAACCGAAATTAACGACCGTGGGGACCCGTTGCGCTGACTACGCGGCACCCTCTATCAGCTAAAGCTGGCACCAACTTCGCCGATAAGAGGCGGTCGCTCGGTCGGTATAGTTCGTTTGCGGACTAAAATCCACGGAATTTGTTTGTTTTAAAAACGATAACCAATGGGAAATTTGAACTAGATGTATGTTATATTTTTACGGAGCTATGTCATAAATATATCTATCACATATAACATGTCAAATGTTGCTTACATGGCAACAGTAACGTATTGACGGGAAAAAACCTTTGGTGTGGCAGAAATCTGTACTGATAAAAATTATATACAGAAAATGGCTACTAAATATTGCAATTACTAATTTACAGTTCCTTCTAACTTAGGCGTTATATTTTTCCTGCAGTTCATTTAGATTTTATATTTCACTATATTCGTCCTGGATGAATAGTTTTTTCGGAATGTTAGTTGAAGCTGATGTCACTTGTAAATCCAATTTCTATTGATGATGAACACCACAAGGTGCATTTACTCATATATATACTCTGTTCCTGCAGGGTAAATTCGACTGTATTGACTAAGCAGCCGCAGGAAGCTGACAATTTTTATTCTCCAGGTCGGGATCTGAGTGAGGGATAAATCATAAAAGTAGTATGTCACGAAACTTTGCAAAAAAAAAATTAAGACTTTGCACGAAATATGGAACTGAAAGAGAGCATGGCGTGTGGACCCAGAAAATGGAATGTGAGAAGAAGCTGGAGAGAACTTTATATTTACAGCTTTCATTTAACATTTTTCGGAAGGGGTTCAGTGTAACTGAAGATCTACAATAATCAAAGGAAATCCTGTTACCTTTACTAGCAGACAAGTTTCAATTATCAGCCATTTTCAGTGCCACATGTTCAGAAGATAAATTCAAGAAGAAAGTCTGGAGTAAACTTAAAATCAACCCAGAGGTTTAGTTAAGAAGCCTTTAGGATGGGAGATACAGACATAGATGGGAGGAGAATATCAGAATGCTGTTTATAGAAAGGCGTGTTAAGACGTTGATTGGATTGCACTAGCTCAGTAGGTGCCCAATTCAAAGCCACAATTGCAGAATTTTGTTAACATGAAAATCCACTTTTGAGTTCCATAAATTCAGGGGATTTCTTGACCTCCTCGGTATCACAAGTTCTCAAGGAACACTCAGCATGACAGAGTTAGTTTATGCTATAAAATGCATGGTGGTGGTTGTAGTGGACTGACCGTCTGTGTGTCGATGCTGAGGCAGCCGACGCGCTGCGGCGAACACTCTGACCGGTCTGCACACTTCTTGTTGACCACCACACTCTCTCCCCGGGAGTCCATGATATGCAACGTGTGGCAGAAGTCCTCACCTACAGAAAACCACATCAAACATGTATTCTCTAACCTGTGAGAAATTACTAGGCAGAGCAGCAATTTTTTATAAGAGATAACTTCGTAATTACATGTATCGAAGTTAAAAATTATTAAATTTTTTATGAAATTTTGAAAACAATCAATTAATTGGGATGTATTTCGCAAAATAAATTATGATAATTTTCTGACTCCTAATAAATTCATATATTAAATGGTTCTGGTAATTGTAAATCTAAAGGTAGATTTAAAACTTGTAAAGGATTTAATCGATATCAGTTTTTAATCGACTAATTATACAGCATTGATCGATAACTGAGGAAATTTAATAGTAAGAAAAATTTGGTGCTAACAAGATAAGCTGACATATCCTGGACAGCTTTCAGAAGTTTGGATAACCATAGTTTGCTGTAGGCTGTAGTGGCCTGTACAATGTGTTTTTATTCAGGAGGGCACGAGCTACCTGGCAGGGTCATGGCAGGAGAGTACAAAATCTATTGATGATTCACACTCAGTGTATATTTTATCATGAAGCTTTTGAGAACATCGTAACAACCTTTCATACCGGAATTCCTTGACTAGTTAAGAAATTGTTAACTTTACACAAAAGTCTGGAAGTAGGCCTACAGTTAATCTGCAGTGTCCTAGGTATGTAGCATTTTTAAATAAGACAGTACATAAAAGGGATCTTCCACGTTATAATTGTATAAATTTAATTCTGTAGGATAATAATTTGCGATGTCTCTTAGCGCAGAAATAAAACGTTTTGTGCAGTTTAGCTCTAGTAACATTGGCTTTTCTGTTATGACGTCATGCCAGGGGCAGTTTACAGCTCCGTCAAGCAGTTCCGTGTTTGTGAACATTATGACTGGGGTGAACAAGACGAAACACCTGGGGATTACAGCCCTGAAGTTATGGTGAGAAACTGGTCGGATAAACCAATTGAGAAAATTCACTATCTTCCATTACGCTGATTCATTTTAGGTTGTTTAACAGAATGGTTCAACCCTAGAACGTTGAATGAGAAGCAAAGATAATCCCAACGACGAGGAAATAAGTAAAAAACAGACTTCTTGGTGTATTTATCCTTACATTCTGAAGAGACGAAATAAAACAACCAAAAATATTGGTCAGACTAGCCAGTAGCAGAATTAAATAGTATCTGCAATAAACCATTCTTTGTGTAATTAACTCCTTTCTATCGGTTTTGTCTTAGCAGAATGATATGTGAGAGATTTTTTGGCATTAACACTATCTGCACTAGATACAGGCCTAAATATATATATCTATTATTCGAAGATATTGTCTTGTGATACGTAATACCGTGGGAAAGCCAGAAGGAAAGATACAACTAACAAACATAGACATAGGTGGGAGAATAATATTAAGATGGATGTTAGAGAGATAGAAAGGGATGCTCTGGATTAGTTTGACCTGGCTCAGGATAGGGGCAATTGGAGGGATCTTGTGAAAACTGTAAGGAACCTTCTGGTAAAATGCTGGGAAGTTCTTGAGTAACTGCACAATTGGTATATTCTCAAGAAGGTCTCAGCTCCATAAGATATAACACCGTGTATTTTGGTATATGTTTACAGAAGTTTTGAAGGACTGTGCTGCCTCAGTCCCCAGGGCACTCTTCTGTCCCGAGGATGAAGCAGTACGTTCCTCCCGAAAGTCGGTAGATATTTACAAGGCTTCATTGCGTCACATCCCAGAGGAGGGTAATCTCTGTAGTCACGGCGGTCATGGCCGGAAACTCAGATTCACGCTTAACAAATGAAATGGCAATAACCTCAAATATACGATAAAATGTATTGATTCAGGTGCTATGTATGCTGACTAGGCCGCGCCATAGCTCAAGCGGTTAGTCTCTGGCTTCCCACCGCGGCGGCCCGGGTTCGATCCCGTGTCTGGTCAAGTGGGATTTGTGGTGGACAAAGTGGCGCTGGGGCAGGTTTTCTCCGAGTACTTCGGTTTCCCCTACCAATCTTCATTTTACCAATTGCTCCACAATCACCCTCACCTATCCCCTGGGGCTGATACAATAGGCCAGAAGTGGCCGGAGTACAAGGAACTTAGTCCCACCCCACTGGCAATAAAAAACTATGCGGACTGGCTTTGCAATTTGACTATTGCCGACATTGTGGCTTACGAATAAGAAAACTTTCGATCGATTTCCTATCCTGATTATAACGCAGTAATACAATGAACTAATTCGCACGTTACCCCATAACCTGAAACAAGGAGCCCTCTAATTGAGCTATTAATACGAAGCTTGTTGGACCGATCCGTGTACTTATTCCGCGAGGTCAGTAAGCCCAAATAAAATGATACCCCGCAGAGTTCCAAAGCCGAAGTGTATTATACCCAGTCTCTGTAATTTAACCAATTATCAGGTTCACTCGATCAATTATTGTCGTGTTAATTATCGTAGCTGTAGGACTCACTGCCAGCGTTTCAATTGCTGTTGAATTCTGGTTCATGTTATTTGGGTCCGTATTTACAGCTGTGTTTACTGCTAAGGTCATGTGACGCTATTAAGCAGGCTTATGCAACTGTATCTGGGAAAATGTGGCTATATTAGTGGGCTGGGCAATATGTCAGAATATACATATATTTTTATGTAATTTGAGATTCAATAATATCACTTCGGAAAAGATCTGTCAAATACTAGATTTGAAAATTGAATTGGTTCGTCAGAGATCCTTTGTTCTGTAAATAATCTAATAAGTTATCTACTGAGATAAAATTAGTACCATATTGTAGCCGTGAAAGCTTAGTCAGTAAATGATCAGGCTACAAGATTTTTTTTTTATTGCCAGTGGGGTGGGACTAAGTCCCTTGTACTGCGGCTACTTCTGGCCTGTTGTACCAGCGCCAGATGATAAGTGAGAGTGATTGTGGAGCAATTGGTGGAATGAAGATTGGCAGGGGAAACCGAAGTACTCGGAGAAAACCTGCCCCAGCGTCAGTTTGTCCACCACAAAATCCCACTTAACCAGACCCGGGATCGAACTCGGGCCGCCGCGGTGGGAAGCCAGCGACTAACCACTTGAGCCACGGCGCGGGCAGGATACAAAATAGACGACCGAAGAAATTGGGTTCAATTCCGAGAATCGAAAAGACATTTACTTTTTTTCACATGGCCCAGAACTTCTTTGGAGCTCATTCACATCCGTCTAGTGGAGCTGTATCTCCATTCAGCCAAAGATCTTCATGATGTGACGCTTAAAGAAGATCAAGGGCCATTTTACCGTGCAGGTACCAGTTTTATGGCGTAATCGATGTTGGGGGAAGAGGGGAAAATGGTGGTTGTGCATATTTTCGAGCCGATAGAGACAATAGCGCCATTTAATACAGGGGCATGAAATATTGTATGCTGATACATCTCCGAAAACGTGCAACACCTGCGAAACTGTGTTTTTGTAGACTGCAAATAATTTCCTGGCCGCGCAATATTTATATTTATCTTTCGGCTTGATGACGATAAATAACATATATTGAACAGAAGCGCATGGAATGCTCGAGACAAATCGTAAATGTATCTACAACGTCAGTGTGTATTATTTTTCATATACGAGTATTAGCAGCTGAACTTGGTAATGACGCTGTATTGCGAGATTCTGTAATTTGACGTTGTGGGAATCTGCACTGATGGAAGTGATGCACAGAAGTTGATCAGTCGTTAAACAGTAATATTAATATTCACGGTTCACCAGGCCTTGGCGCAATAGATTATTATGGGATGGTGCGGATCTCACGCGATCAGGATATGGTACAGTGTGTGGTAACGAATTTCCAGAATACACAAAATAGGAAATATTTTGACGAGCTGATTGAAGTGTACAGCCCTCCTACCTTTCAGTTTTTTCTAGCCTTCCCATATACACTGAAATATATGTATACAACCAAACGTAAAAAAAAAAATTATAGAAAACTTTTTGTCTAATTCATTTTTTATGCGAAAAATTAAAACTGGCCTTTGACATTTCGAAGAAATTTTATTCCTCCTCCAAAAGTAATGACATGCTCCATTATTAAGGACAAATATGTGGACCTATGAGTAGTAAAATATTACGTTTATTTCTGTGAATGTCTTGAAGTGATGGACAGTTAATTTTCAGATTACTGCATATTGTAATAAAATGGATTCGAATAACCATGTTACTGACCTTGATGCATCAATTTATTTCTTACGCGTGTGGCGATGTTACATTGGTTTCCTGTTCGATTTTTCATGGCGGTTTCGTAGCTGATTAAATTTCTTGTAGAAAGATATAAGGAAACGTTGCGATTAATTTCAACGCGTTTATGATGAAGATACAATATAAAAATATTGAGGCAAGTCTAATGATATTTATTTCGCATGAAGCCTAATGTATTTCGGACGGAAGATGATTATGGAGTCAGAAGAGATAGATTCATACTGAATGAGAATTAATAACTTTGGAAATGCTACTCGGTTCCAGGAAACAAAATGCTGAGGACGCAGTATATCATCCATACTTTAATACACAGTAATTATATTGCACACTGTCTGACGTAAGGCTGTACTATGTTTACACAACCCTTCGGGAATTGACTCCACGCCTGTCTTCAGGCGACTGGCTGCCATTATAATATCATATTTTGTTTACTGTTCTGAGGGAGCCAGGCTAGAGAAGTTGGTATAGTGACTGTCTACAGGCTGGACAACCTAGGGATCGGAGTTCGAGTCCCTGTAGGGGGAAAACTTTTATCCCCTCGAAGTCACCCAGAACGACTCTGGGTCCAACCTAGTCTTATATCTAGGCGTTTCATTCTACATTACACGAAATAATTTTCCTCAAGTCGAACATTCCATTTAATCACACAACTTCAGTTGATATGACTATGTGAAAGTAGGAAAGAAATAAGTCAGTTTGATGCATCCATGGAAGACACCTGGCGCTAATCCACAATTTTCCTATATACAATTACCAATAATATATTGGAGGCACGTGGTAACATATTTGGTTGA